GGGGAAAGAGAGAACACTATTTCACTATTGAGATAAATTTCTCCAGAAGTGGAATGTGTCTTAAAGTAATATTGCTTAAGCCCCATTTAGCAAGCCAAAAATAAAGTGGGTTATTTATTTATTTTAAATAATTAAATAAATTTAAATAAAATATTATTTATTTAGTTATTTAATTTAGGTATTACTGATTTATCTCTGCCACAGTTAATTTGCTTGCTTAATTAACTGGTTATAAAGACATGTACATCTCTTTGTGACTTATGCACCTTATATGAAATACAGCTGTCTCCACCAACATAAAATTCCAGAAGCACAACTAAACTGCTTTCACCAACTACATTAATTTAACAACAGGACCACAACTTGAACACAACACCCATGTTTAGATTTATCAAGATGGCACATTGTTACCTGTTCTCAATTATGTGGATTCAAGATGGCATCCAGACTTTACTACAGACTAAACTCATGAAGAAAAACAGTTTGTAGACTATACAGAAAATCAGAGAAAGACAAGAATGAGGTTGAAAATTCCTGATCCCTACTCACGCATTGGAACTATTACACAACTGCTCCTAAGAGTTCAACATTATGTGGTAAGGCTGTAGATTCATTCCCATTAATGGTACCATAACCATACCTGTCTAGCAGGAATCTGAGATATTCCGAACAATCCTGCTGGGATCGAGGAGTGAACCATGGTGGTCTGGAAGCTTCAAAGAAAATTCTAGGAGCATATGCCTCCCTCTGTTCAAGTGAGAGAACAGGCAAGATAACATAGGAACAACTTAAAAAGTTGGTTATATTATTTTAATATTAACAGTTGAACTATGGACTATATTATCGCAGAGTAGCTGAATGAAACACAAGGTACACAAACATTTAAACAACTTAATCATACAAAGTGAGAGCCATTAATTTTGTAGCAATCACCTCTAGTACAAAGATAAAAATAGTTTATTCTGCTGGCAAATATTAGTGTTTAGTGAGTACAAGCCAGGTATTATAGCAGCTACCATTCTTGCTGGTGAATTAAAAAACCTGTTTGCTTTCTTCAGAACACCAGCACTTCATAAGTACCCATTTATTTTGAAGCTGATCCAGCCTCATTCTCTTCAGAAGTTTATTGCTATAATTCAAAGAGAACAGAAGTGTCTTGTGCCTTTCCACCATTAGCAAAATGTTTTGAACAGCTAATAATGTTCACATTAGAATCTGAACTACAATAAAATTTAGTGTAAATATCAATGAAGAAGGTCACAGTTTACCCTAGAAAGATAGATAAAATCAGCTTGTATATCAACTCAGGTCTTATTTGGATTTTTTGATTCTTGCTTCTCAAAGAAAACCTATCACTATCTATTAATAGAAACAACAAAATGCCAACATATTCCACCTCGAGAAACATGTATTTCTTAAGTCCATCCACACCATCTGAGCATTTGAAGGCAGACTCATTCCCATACAAAACTATAATATTTGTATTTGAAATACTCAAGAGGGCTCCCATGGCATCATGCTTGTTTCTCAATTTTGGTATATGGATCTAAGCTTAAAGAAAAGCAGATGAAAAACCGACATACCTGGGTATGGGCCAAAAACGCAAAAAGATGCTGTAATTTTCTCATTAGGGAATTACAGCCATTTAGATTCAGAGATAAAACATGTCTTCTGAAACTGAAATGAAAGGGAGAGACATCAGTTTCCTTGCTAGACTTCCAACAATGCAGTTATCATTTCAGCTCAGATAATTACTTCAAATTGAAAGAAAGCAAAACACAACACTTCCCTTTAATACTGGAACTCTCCTCTAGTGCAGATATAAAATTACTGTATGGTAAGAATTAAACTGCAAAATACCTACTTTTAAAATTTAAATGTGTAGGAATGGGATACAGACAGACTTTTAAAATTCCCTTCCAGATTATAACAAAAGCATCACCAAAAAATTTTACAATACAGTAGTGAGTGAGCAAGGACAGTGAGGGAAAAATGACTTGTCTTTTGACCCTGGGCAGAAGGATCAGGATTTTTAGTGCCTAAAATTGCAGTTTCCAGAGCTGAACTTGAACAAAGCAATCAATAACTGAGTGCGAAACAACCCACTCAGTTCTAGCAAGGTGAGAGACCCCAGGACATGTTACTACTGTGTGAAAATCAAGAATGCAGTAACTGCAAGATTTGCAATGAAACAAGCTGTTAAGAAGCACTTACTCTGTAGCCATAAAAAGTGCCTGAATAACACTGTTCATGTAGCAAGTATTTCCTAGATTTATTAGGCCTGTCTTCCCAGTTTCAGATTTTCCAGAAGGTCTAGATAAACAAGATGGCAAAGAACTGGATTGAGAAGTCCAGGCACTCTGACTGAGGATCAACTTAATCTTCTCTTCAGTGGGTTTGGGCATATCCTACAAGAGAAACATTTAACACACTTAATAGGTTTCTTTATTTGTTTCTGCAACAGGTCTTGCCATTCAGCAGTATTCTATCTTCCCCTGCTCCCCAGTTCTCCTTCAAGGTCTTGCTGCTGTCCCTGATAGCCTAGGAGATACAACAGACTCCCCGCCCTTTTCCCTTCCCTCCCCGCAACCTTCTTCTTCAAAGCTTTATACTTATTTTATATTTCAAACACAGGATTGACATGAGATTATGTGGTTAGCTCTTTTCTCCATGTGGAAGTTCTAAAGAATTTGGATCTGTGGATCTACAGCTTCACATCTGGGAAAACAAAAAAACATTCCATGCTCTTAACATTCCTAATGTACCTTAACAGCTTCCAGAATGGGTTCATAGAGCTCTGGAAAACCTGAATAATGATACATCATACAGTGTATCAACTCAGTCAACTGCATCAAAAAGGCTGTACTGGAAGGCAAGCCATCTCTTTTGAAGGAGTGAACCAAACTGACCACATGTGGGACAATCTGAATGGGAAAACAAACAAACAAAAAGGTGTTAACTGCATTTTTTCATTGTTTTTTTTTCTTCTACAAAATACTTTATTAAACTTCATTGGTTTATACATGCCAAATGACAGGGGATCTTTTGTTATTAAATATGAAGTGGTTGAGAGACAATGACTTGAAAAACATACATGATTCTTTACACGACAATTTTCAAGCAGCACAATTAATTATTTAATGCTCTCTTTAGCTCACATAGCAAGTTTTAAAAGGAACATTATGAACTTAAAAGGTGCATGCTAAGGTTTCAAACAGTCAAGTGTCCAAAAGTACTCATCTTATTAAGGATATTAACTGCAAACATTTTGCTTTTGTGCCACTTAGATGGGACTTAGGTGGGACAGCGTGTCAGATTGAATGTCTCCATTCTAATATTAGCTTTGCTTCCAAGTAATCTGCTGTCATCCTCTGCTTTGGACTGTGTGTCCAAGGACATCTAAGCTTTTGTCTAAGTTACTCTGTGAAAATGCTGTTCTGTATTCCTAACACTTTGTGCCGTCACAGCTGGGACACTGGAATTGCCTGGATGTGCTGAGTGCCTAAAATCAACTTCATGCAATAAACTTTCCATTTCTCAAGGGTATTTCCTACTTAAATGTGTAAAATTTACTAATTTGTAAAAGATACTAAGAGTTTAGTATCTTGTTCTGATTTCACAGACATGTTTTTTAAAACAAACCTCTAAATTTTCCTTTAACAGAATCTAATGCTTGGACTTATGAGCCAACGAATACATTCCTGCTATCCCTACAAGAAGGAAACTGGCCCATAGCTCCACCTAGTGAGGCAGCTCAGCTCCATAAACGACAGCCATGTCATTTATTACAAGGTGAAAGTTTACCACAGCTACAGTAACCTATTTGAGACTTAGTTCAGATTCAGGAGTACTTTAAATTGGGTCAGATTAGAATCAGGAATGTTTACTTCATCTCCTTCCTCTTCTTCAGCACAGCTCTCTACTTTCAAATGTGTGAGACATTAGCCTTAAGACATCAAGTAGAAGTTTATGTCAAAGCAATTTACAAAGAGCAGGGACTTCTGATTGTGAACCAAAGTATTTCACACACCTTTGCCAGTTTCCAAGCGATTAAGATTGGTTAACTGTGAAAGAAGTTCATAGAATAATTTCTCATCATTAATTACTACCAAACAATTTGTAAGTTAAAGGCATAAAATACAGAACAGGAATCATAAGAATATAGGAATCTGAGGAAGGTACACCAATTACAAGAACTCATATAGTTCCAAACACCAAAGTAAAAAGGGCTAGTTGCAAAATACAGATTTGTCACTTTTTCAAATATTGGTTATTCTTTGGGTATAAAAAATATTTCTACACCTCTGATAAATCTTGCTCTTTAGGTAAGCAAGATATCCACTGTTTAAAAATAAAAACGCAAAGATGAAGTGTTCGCTGTATCACAAGTCAATACTGAAAGCTATTGCAATGAAAAATTTCCATCTTCCACTTTATAAATGTGGGTACACAGCAATGAGAAAGCAACTACTGAGCTCCAAGAAGGAGCTTTGTATCAAGTAGATGTGAGATACGATAATTCTGAACAGACAAAGCACATGGGAAGAACAGAAAAAGGATAGGTTTTCAATTCTATCAAAGAGAGTCAAATTCTGCAGGCTGGATAATACTGAAAGTTACACCTTGAATACACACAGAATTATCTCTTCTGGCTAGAGGTTGCATTAAACTTTTATTTATCAGTAGATTTTTGATGATCATAAGTGCTACATCGTAAGTACAAGACTGCTTCTGCTACAAAAATATCAAACTAACTTATGCTAATGATGCTCAAGTGTAAGGAGAGGGAATGTAATTTCAGATGCATTATCAAGTAAATTCATTTCTATTTATCAAATGTTCATTTGACACTTTCATAATAAGACTATTTGTAATTAAAAAAGTAAACAAGCACTTAAAAGTGAAGGAAGATATTACAGAATATTAAATGGTAGTAGCACAAAAAAAATAATAGTGAAGAAAATTGTTTAAAATTGAGGAAAAATGGTCATGAAATCTTACAGGGAGGTATTTATGCAGCACAGTATGCAGCCTCCAATAGAAGTTTTCTTTGGTAAATCAAATTCCTCTTTCTAGAATAGGCTATCTCACATTTTACATTTTTTCTAATGTTTTGTCTCTCTCAGGAAAAAAGAAGCAAGACAGAAAAATATATGAAATATTTATGTTTTGAACATATTCAAAGCTTTTAATTTTAACTGAAATTTCTATCCTAAGACAAGATCAGGGCAGTGGAGAAACTTCAGAGATCTCTTGTTAAAAACCAGCGTAATGGGCATAAGGCAATTACTCTGACATTAAACAAAGGGCTTGATATCCCTTCAAAGCCTTAGGAACAGCTTAGAAACAATGTGCCAGGCTGTTACTATTAAATCTCAGATATTTCTCCTAAACTTTAAGCTGAACACCAAGTGTGGGAACACCTTGCTGTATTAACACAGCCACTGTCATGCCCTCCTATCTATGGCCTTAACTAATGGAATGCATTTTGAAAAGGGGTCATTAAAAATGGTGACCTTTAATTTGCCCATAAACATTGACCAGACAGCACAGCTTTCTGGAAGTTAAGTACTTCTTGGTCTCATGAGCCTATTCAGGGTGACCAGGTTACATATAGCAGATCATCTCTGTTACCTGTTTTCCCCAAACAGCTGCCCTCAAAAACCTACTTGCCGCCCAACTTTATCAGCCAATTTCACACACACAAAATGATTTCCAGAAGCACACAGTCAAAACGTGGTGCCCAAATACTCCTGCCAGAAATAGGTACATACAAGGAAGGACTGCTTGTTTCCAGTTATATATGAAGTGATTGAATTTGGAAGCTAAAAAGCCTTCCTGTAACCACAGGAACCTGATTCTAGGACCTTCCAACAGACAAAATCCAAGTACATCAATTCTGATGCTCTTTACACCCATTTCAGAAATCACACAGTGAGTGACATTTCAAAGCACTGAAAAACAGTAACTCACCAAATGAAAAGCTTCTGGAGAATGCTGGAAACTAAGTAACATGTGGGAAAGGACAGCAAGGGCACCAGGCCTCACTAGAGGAAACCAAAGTCGATTAAAGACCTAAAAAAACCCACATTTATTTCAGTTAATCTGCAAAGTAAAATTTCAGTAAACACAAAAACCAATCTTCAAACACACAGCCATCTGAAATAGAAAAAATCATTACATGCAAGTGACAGCTATACATTTACATACATTTTTACATATATCATACATATACATTTACATCATATTTGCGGAGTAAGAAGATACTGTATGTTACAATAAAAAGGATGCTACACAATTGCATAGCTGGTAGCAATTCCTTTCCCTCTCCCTCAGTTTTGAATGCTTTTTTCCAACACACCAATTCGATCTTAAGCAGAGTGACATCAATGAGGATGGTAAATTTCTGGACTGCAGCCAATCCTTTCAGCAGTGCAATCACCCATGTTTCCACATGCTGAGCCAGAGGCCAGGACAGCCAGTCAATCATTCTGCAAGGCAATAGGAGAACAAAAAATATAAGAAAACCAATATGCCACTAACTTTAATCTCAACACAAAAGATACTCAATATTAGCTTGGAATTTATGCAATAAGACTCACAATAAGTAATGCAGGAATGTTGGGCAAGTGGTAAATTAATTTTGATTCTATCTCAAGTCATTTAACTCTGAAATTAATAATGATTTATTTAATACATTTTAAGTAAATATACATCCCCAAAAATACCTTATCATAAAAAAGTCAATATTTTGTATTGCCTCTTTTTCGTCTAGAAAATGCACTCTGATGTTACAGACATTGAGCTAACATATGGCAAAAACTTACTGCTGAAAACGTGCCTGTACCTGGTAACGTCCCCTCTAACACCTTTTAATCTGAAGCAGACCAAAACTGACTACTAAGTAAGATTCTACAACTTACAGCTACACTCCCAGAAGCCAACACAAACACTCTAATAGTAAAATCTAGTCATTTTAAATACACTGAGCAGTCTGGGGTTTGCACACATCTCAAAAGGGAGCATTTCGCTTGAGCTAAGAAAAAAGTGAAGGAACCTCCTGTGCCTAGAACAAACAGTGAAATATCAGGAACAGAAAACAGAGGTATTTTAAATTAATAGCCAGTTTATACTGATCCTTAAGGTAGACAAGAAGATGTGTTGAAACAATTCTAAGACACAGACAATATTGCAAGGGAGTGCCAGCTAAAACATGAAATCTAGACTTTGTTCTTCTGAGATTTTACTAGGCAATAGTTTGAATTTTCTTTCATTGTCCATAAGATTCCTTTCTTCAAACAAGATGAGGCAGCACTAATTACGTGGAAGAAAAAACTTTCTACTATAAGAGCGGACAGATATTGAGACAAGTTATAATGTATATATCTTAGAATCTGCACATATAAAGTTCAGAGGTTTCTCTAAAAGAAGGGATCTTTAGAACTGTCTTTTTAACAAACAAGCACAAATCTTACCAAATTTCTTCCCTATTACTATAAATAAAAATTTGGGAAAAAAACACGACAACATCATAATCAGTGCTCTGAATTTACACAAAGCTCTCATTTCCTCAAGATGTTGAATTCAAACATGTTCATCCTGAGCAACCTTTCCATATATCCTCTAAAACAGAGAATAAAAAACACAGGCTCAAACTGTTTTTGTTTGCGAAGAAATAACCTTAACCTAAAAAAAGACCCCACAACTCATAAACCAATCATCTTCAAATCTTCCCCTCCTTGATTTGTAGGCTTGATATTTTTCAGCAGAAACATCTGCACAGCTAATTTAAACCGAATGACAATATATTGTTTTCTTAACTGTTTAGACAAGTATGCTGTAGAGCCCTACATCAGAACCACTATTTTAAAACATCTGACAGTTAACCTGAGAGTTAATGATTTTGAGAGCAGAAACAAAAGCCAGAAGAGACAGAAGTGAACTTGCAGACCTGCTTGAGACTGTCTCAAAAAGCATCACATCTTAGATCTCATAGGTGAAGATCAGGTATTTTGGTCGCATTTACTTGGCTTCTGCTCTGTTTCAATCAATGAGTGCATTTTTAAGCAGATACTAGTATGGGCCATGATGATCATGAATATAAACAGTGGATGCTTTTTTGGGTTTGACTAGATTAAGAGAACCTTAAAAGCCTCAAGAGGATCCTCTGCCTCATACCACCCTAAAATCAGCAGGTCTTTTACCCACATATGTGCCCAGTAAGGACAGTATTTTTGATATCTTTGAATAGAAAAAAAAAATTATTTGTGCAACCTCGGACAGAAACTTCTTTCACAAAGTATCTTCTTCACCACATCAAAGAATCTGGCTGCTCAGTTGTGAGTCCCTCAGATTAGGAAAAAAACCCCAAAATAGCAACAGAAGATCCTCAGACTACCTGTCACCACCAATAACTTACAAGTCTTTTACAGAATTTTACATTTTTTCCCAAAAGGACAGAGCACCTGGTTATATCTGGAGTTCTTTTTAGCAAAATTTTCAATTTCTCTTAACAAAGATACTTGGGTTGAAGTGCAAAGAAGCATTATACTTGTCAGGATCCAGAGTACAGCCAGTTCATTTCCTCCCAGAGTTCTGAATTAGACTTTTAAAGTACCCATATATCCCCAGTGAGATTCAACAATTTTCTGCTTTTCCTTACTGATGCTTCAGGTAAGGTTTCAGGAGACAGCTGAATCAATCAGAAACAGCTCAAGCCAAATTCTAACATGATCTTGTGTCTAATATACCGCCCACTCTGAACAAACTAAATTTATGAGTTTGTTAAATATAAATTATTTACTATTCTGTGCTGAACTTTTGATAAGACTCTGCAGTGCCACAGATGTTATACTTGGGAAGTGAGCAACAAGGTCTCTAATTTACAGTCACCAAAAGCTCTGCTAACTCTCATCAGACCTTGTTGTGCCTGGAGTTTTGCATCTCCTGGGAATGCTGCAAGCCTGATGACTGCATAGTCATTTGGTGCTTCAGACATTCCAGCTGCATTAACCTCTTAACAATTGGTTCACTAAGCCAGAAGAGAGTAATAATTGCAAAGGGTTGCCAGAGGTAGAAAAAGAAACTGGATGCAGTGGTGACATGAGGTTCCATGGAACAAACAAAGTTCCATGGAACAAAACTAGAGGCTCTTAAGAGAGAGAGTATTACCTCAAAGAATGAACAAAGCAAGTAAGATTATCCTTCCATTTCAAAAACAAGAGAAAAACTCACCCATCACATGGCTGGTACCAAAAAAACAGAGCACTTATTTGATAATAACAGCTCCTACTGTAACCAAAGCTCAGTACCGCATTACTTCCCTAAGCAGAATGACACAGCGAAGCCGTTCTCAAGCTCCACTTACATGATTACACTGTCTTGATGCAACAATGCAACATAAATGTTAAAACTACACTAACTTGAAAATTAATCACCAGCACATTACTGGCAAACTATCTGCATGACCAAATCCTTAATTTCTCAGCTCTGACCTTTAGACTCAAAACACAGTTTTGATGAAATCTCTTCAGTCAAGGAGATTCTCTTAAAGTCCCTAAACAATGTCTTACCCCAAATTGTATTATTTATGCTGCTTCTTTTCATTATGTTTTTGACTGAAATACAGCTTCTCAACTTACTGTAAACACAAGGAATGTTTTCAGTGTGAGAAAGCCCACCAAGATATTAAAGTGCTACACTACATGAGTGCTTAAGTATTACAGTACACTCAAATGGATGTATTAAAAGTAATAACATTGCAGACACTGAACACTTAGTTTAAGGCTTCTTAAATATTATTGTTTAAACAATATAAATTTTAATAGTTCCCTTTTTAACTGCATTACCCATTTCCCTACCCTTCAGTGCTCAGTAACAGCTTCTTCAATTGCGTTTAATTGGGTTTCAAAAAAAGAACTTCAAGGTCTTCATCCTTCTATCACTGTCATCTTTCTGCATCACTATTATTCGCATATCTGAAGATAATAATCACGATTGCAATCTGAATCCCAGTCTGTTTACACTGCTACTCATCTACACCACATTTACTCAAAGTAAGATTACTGACAAACATAATATGCAATTGCTTTTACATCATTTCTATTTCTCTATCATTCAAAGAACATCCAAAAACCTATGAGGGTTTGAGTGAAAAGGGTAACAGAGGCTGTTCTCTGTGAATCCTTCTTAAAAAATATTAAGATATCTAAGTAGGAAAAAAAACCTTAAAAAAAAAAGCAGTAAAACTCATTTTGAACTGGCTCCTCTCTTCAGAGCAGGACATGATGGTTAATACTATCACATGAGAATGCTACCCTGCTTCTTGGAAAAGCAGAAAGGTTTATCTTCTGAAAACAAGGCCTTGTTTCTCAGCTTGACTGTAAACCCTATGAAGTTTCCTACTTACACCATCTTCCATAAGGCAGAAGACCTCATTTAAGATGTCATCTAAGAGGAACACAGGTATTTCCTCTCAGTTTCTATTTAACCCTCTTCATCCACCCTGGAAGGGTTGGAGAATGAAGCCACAATAGCAATGAAGGCAGCAACCTTAAACTGAAACCATGCCAGTAACATCCACAGCATCGTATATAAATATATATATATATATATATATATATATATATATATATAGATAAATAGATAGATCTATCTCCTTAAATTGTAACATGCCAAAAAGCATTACTTGGAATACCACTTTAAAAGTTCCTCTTCTTCACACTTTTGTTTGGCTGTTTTTTTAATGGAACTTCAGTAACAACTTCAAGAAAGGCAAGATTAAGAAAGAGACTTTTCTCTCCCTTCACAATTAAATATGTTACCTGCACAGAGCTTGAGTCATACTTGTATCTTTCACATTAGGATCTGTAGTAAGGCTCCTGATGAGTACTGTAATCATCTGCAATGGTATGTGCTGCACAAGACTTGCCAGTGCAACAGAAGGCTCGAATGAAGTATCTGTAACAATTGAATATTACAATGTAAGGAACTAAAAAGAAAACCTCACAGAAAAAAAGTAAGCTTCTTCCACCCTACAGTCTCACCATAGTTTAAAAGTGACAATAAATCTATCGTATATCTTGCATTCTATTATCACAAACCAAACCAAAATTAGAACACATTAGTGAATTAAGGACAATGAACAGCAATGAATTACAAACTCCATTAGTTCATTTCATAGCCATGCAAGAAAGTGACAATCTGCCAACTACTTCCTCCTCCACTCTAACTGGAATTGAGAAGTAGGTTTTGTATTTTTCTAAAAAGAAGTACCATAAATTGTTTATTATATTTCATATTAAGCCTAGGAATTTAGTGCAGCTGGTATTCCCCACATCCTATCTCAACAACTCTCTGCTAACCATATCACTTATGGCAAAACGCAATGTCAAATTTCCCAGGTGCCTCAACAGCAAAGGCACTTGGCAATGGGAACTGTTATAGAACTTCACTGATTTCAGAAGTCAGAAAGGACCTATTTACAATCACATTTCCATTACTCAGGCATTGGATGCTTCCTAAAATTTTATACATTGCTTTTACATATATTACTTATATGTATTTATAAATCCTGATTTGTTAAACAGTTCCAAGGAGCAAGAAGAAGGAGCAGCTTTTCATCGAATCACAGAACTGTGTTGGAAGGGACCTCTGGAGACCATGTAGCCCAACCCCTCTGCCAAGGCAGGGTCACCTGGAGCAGGTAACACAAGAACACAACCAAGTGGGGTCTCCCTCTCTCCAGAGAGGGAGACTCCACGACCTCCATGTGCAGCCTGTTCCAGTGCTCCACCACCCTCAATCTAAACAAGTCCTTCATGTTAAGGTGAAACTTATGTTTTAAGTTTACGGCCTTTTCCCCTTGTCATGTTGCTGGGCACCACCAAAGAGTGTGACACCAATTTCCTGGCAAGAGCCTTTGAGATATTTATAAGAGTTTTACTATTGATAGTTTTACATCTTCCTTAATAGGGCACCCAAAACCTCATTTCGGTATATGATTTAAAGCACTGCATGACACAACACAATCCTGCTCTGAAGCAAAATAAATCAGTATTCCTCCTCAAGCTTTTGGGGGGTGGGCAGGAAATAAAAAAGGCTTTGCTTTCTCGACAGTCAGGAAGTTGCATTTTAGTATCTGTGTGATAAAGCACCTAAAAACCTGATAAAAACCTGCTGCAAAGCGCCCACTGCTTACGTTAAAGCTTTTTCTCTTCTCTGAATAACCTACGCCCCCGTTACTCCACGCCGCTCCCGCTCACCCGCGGCAGAGATGACAGCGAAGAGCTCCTGAAGGGAGGGCAGCAGCGTGTCGGGCTCGGCCTTCCAGACGCTCCTGAGCAGAGCGCTGACCTGCGTTACGTGCGAGACGTAAAGGCGCAGCTCGGCCTCTCGGGTGCCCTGGCTCTGGAAGTGGGCGATACTGCGCACCAGCTGCTGGCAGAAGGCGAGCGAGAGCTTCCTGCCGCGGGGCAGGCACTGCGGGAAGTCGCCCAGCAGTTGGCAGAGGCGGGCGCAGAGCGGCGGCGCCGGCCGTTCGCACACTAGGCGCAGCGCCTCCACCTGCAGCAGCTCGAAGAGCTCCAGCACCGACGGGCAGCTCATGATGAGGCGCAGCCCCGCCTGGATGTAGTCGAGGATGGCGGGGTCGCGGTTGCTCAGCTCGCCGTAGCCTCGCTGCAGGAGGCCGAGGACAAGCCCGCGGTTGAAGAAAGCCTCGAACTCGGCGCGGTGGAAGCGGCCGTAGGCGTCCAGCACCTGCCGCCCCACCTGCCGCTGGAAGGGGTCGGGACCCTGCAGCACCAGCCGGGTGCCGAGCGCGAACATGGCGCGGCACTGCGCCTGGCTCAGCGGCGTCTCCGCCGACTCCACCACGCGCCGCACGATCACCCGCTTCAGCGGCAGCGGGTGCGAAGAGCTCACCAGCCCCTCCAGGATCTTGTCCATGGCTCCGGGCGCATTGGCCGAGCGGCGGCGGCGGCGGGCCAGATCAGGCCTCGGAGGGAGCCGCCGCCGCCTCCCCGCGGCCCTCCCGCCGCCCTGCCGCGCAATGCCGCCCCCCCCGGCGGCGGCGGCGGCGGCGGCCCCGCTCCCCGGCGACCCCGACAGACGCGACCGAACTCCCGACCAGACCCGGAAGCAGAGCCCCGCGAGCGGGAAGCCGGCCCGAAGGGGGCGGAGGAGCATCGCGCAGGCGCCGGCTCTGCCGCGGCACGCCCCGCCCCCCGCGCTAGCGACGGCCAATGGCGAGCGAGGGCGGGACGGAGGACGGATCCGGCCGTGAGGGGACGGAGGGGCTGGCGCGGCGGGAAAGGCTTGGAAGGGTCGCATGGGAGAGGCTAGGGTGCTGGGAGGGGCTTCGAGAGGCCGGAGAATTTGCAGTCGGCGCGGGTTGTTCTCCTATGCTCTGCTCCCCGGGGTACATGATGTCCCGCCGGCCTGCTCCGTCTTCTCTCACGGAGACACTCTGGCGCATGAGGCGATGGCCGCCCTCCCTCGGTCTGCGTGTACAGTCCGTAAGCTCCTCCTGGGATGTGTATTTATTGCTTCAGTTACTGCTCATCCTTCCTTTAGTTATTGCACATTTTTAGGTATGGGTGTGCTGGTGACCAGCGGCACTTCCTCAGAGAAGCCTTTGCTCTTTAGCCGCGCTCTAACAGAGTAGCAGTTAATGCCGACACACACGTGCTTGCTGTTCCCATCCTTATTTAAGCCTGGTAATTCTTCATTTCTGACCCGATTTAGCTCCAGTTTCCAACAATCAAATCTTGTTAATATATTTTGCATTTTCATACCACAGTACATTTTGAGAATAAGTGAAAACAAGTTCTGCAAATTGCAAGGACTGAATGTTATCATACACTCATGGAATCAGGGAATGGTTTGGCTTGGAAGGGATCTTAAAGGTTATCTAGTTCCAGTCCCTCCTACCATGGGCAGGGATGCCACTCAGTACATAACCTTTCTCAGAGCTCCATCCACCTTGTCCGTGTTAGCTCTTTGCCAGCTAGGTAACAAGAAAGGTCACAAATTGAATTAAGACCATCATTGCCAGTAAACAAACGAGACCAAACTCCACTTGCTCAAATAAAATCCTTTAGGCTAGCTTGCTGGTGACATGAGCTGGGCAAAGCCTTCTTGGTTTGCTGTTTCTCAATAAATCTTCATGCTATGTGGTTGAGCAATACCTGTAATTCAGCATCAGGAGAGTATGGGAAATGAGCCTAATTAATCCCTGCTAGTATTTGAAGTAGAACAGGTGCAGAATCTGAGCTGGAGCTTAGGTTGACAACAGATACTGTTGATTTTAGAGTAAGAAAAAAGACCTGCAAACTCTCCAGGGAGAGCTATGAGATACTACAGCTGTCAAACAAACAAAACTCAAAACTAAGAAGTTCAGAGAAGGCCTGAAAATTGAATACCCTGTTGATAAAATATTTCAATTGCTCAGTTAAACAGCTTAGTTGACCCAAACTTTGCTCCTCTGTCCTTCAGTTTTCTGTTTGCTCCTCACAGATGTAGAGTCTGGTTCTAGAAACCACTGTGCAGTTTACCAAGTTATTACAGTCCAGTATAAAGTGTGTTGGTCAAGGGCTTTTTTACAAGAACTTTTCAAAGGCCAGATGCTGTTACTGCCAACATCTTAACTATCTAAATTGTGTTTGTACAGTGTTCTGTATGGGAATGATATCTAAATTAACTATTTTTTTTTTCAGAAGGACTTTGTTGTAAACATAGATCAAAAATTAACCTTGAAGAAGGTGCTGGATTCTGTGGCTTGTAAACCTGTGGAACTCAATGCTTTTCCTTCTGTGATCCTGACTAGGAGTGTTTTAATTTTCTTATGTTTACTAGTGTGAACTTTTTTTATTTATTTTTTTTTCTAGCACTGTTTATGGTGAGTTCTAAAGCCAGAAGAGGAGAAGAGTCCTCTCAGGATCCAAAACAGAACTCTGAAAGAAAGAAGCACTAACATCAAGTTGCCAGTGACACATGCATGGAAAGGGATAAAGTGAGACCTTATCTGGGCAGAGAATCATGGAGAATGGAAGGAGAAAGGAAGTTTGGAAGTATGTGAAGCTGCAAAGGTGCTCAGGTATATTGATGTGAAAGAGAATAAAGGAGAAGAAAGGGAGAAAGGCAGGTGGTATGGCAGGCTCGTGGGACATGTGATGGAGTAGGAAAATCAGAGAGATAATGAGTGAAGCAGTTGCTACAAATAGGGAAGAAAATGTGGAAGAGCTAGAACAGTCATTTGAAAAGCTGGACACTTATGGATGATTTTCAGGAGCATGGAGATGTGGGGAATGCTGGAAGCATGAGCAGCTGCAGATTAGCAGGATCAGGGGTTCCTGTGAGCCAGGAAATCAGAGGTCTCAACAGGTTTTTAGTGCTTTGCCCTTTGTTTACATAGCAGTGTGGATGGGAGGGAGTACCCACTGCTTGGGATAGGAGAACAGCTTTCCTGACAGCCTGGAACTGTTCTGTCCAGCAGCTCAGTCACAGAACAGTCACTGTGTAGATAAAGCAGGTTCTTCCCAAAAGCCCCAGGAAGGTCTGAAAATCTACAGCCCCCATAAAAATTAAAATTGATAGCTGGAGGTGAATAGTTGGAAGGAGAGCAAGGTAATTCTAGCAGAGAAGCTTGAAAATAGTGATCATATTTGCAGACAGATGACCAAGTATGCACAATCCTTATTTAATGGTTGTATTTCAAGTAATAGAGCCAGCAATAAAAAACATGTGGTTAAGTGTTATGATGTTTGGTTGAGTCACCTAATTGCCTATGACCTCAGAGCTAAGACTAACCTGAACTGTGGGGATGATCCTAATTACAACCTTACTATTAGATATGCAATTACCAATATATAATTACAAGCTAAATTGTAGAACACTGACTGGTCCTCTGTTTACAGTGAAATCCTGTATATAAGAACATTACTAAATGTGACAAAATTAAAAATAAATTCATTCTTCAGTGAGCAAAATATATCTTTAAATACTTTCTCTGAAAAAGTAAGTAAAACACCCAGTCATATTTCATGAAAAGTAATGATTATTGTTAAATACTAGTTACTCTTACTGTGAAAAAGCACAAATAGCAGCAGAAGGTTAACCATGGTGGCATCTCTATGATAACAATCTTAAAGACAGAAATGCAAAAAGGAAACTTTTTACTAATAATCCTGGATTAAAGATATTCTGTCAGCCTTATGCATGAGATGAGTCCTTTCTAGAAGAACATTTCATAGATAAGGGGGCCATCCTAAGGCTTGTGAGGCTCTGGATGCAGCAGCTGCCCATTCCTTATGGCGCTCATGTGAAGCAGTCTGACATGCTGGACTCCCTTCTGCTATACAGAGGCATGTCCAGTGAGGTCAGGCTTCCTGAGAGGTAGGATCCCACATGTCTGCAAGAGGTTTAGGGCCTCTGACTGGGAGCATCACGTGGCTTGGCTGTGTGCTTGCATGACTGCTAAATGTAGTGTAAGACAGGCAACAGGAGACCAGGGGAGATGAGGAACAGGCTTCTCTTTTCAGTCACAGCTTGCTCTTCAAAGTGTCACTGTGACATGAAACTGCACCATGAGTAAGGAGCTCCTAAGCACTACTTGTGGCCTCCATATCTACTCCAGTGGTGTCTGTGAGCAGCTGAATTAACTGCTCAGGGTTGGTATCTGTCAGGTACAAAGAGTGGTAGCTAGGTGCTTGAGAGCACTGCAAGGTTCAATTAATAATGTTTGCTAACTATTAATTAAGTGTTTTAAGTTCTAAAGTGTTGATTAGAAATGCCTGAACATTGAATCATCGTGTTCTAGTTGTACACTGTCACATGTCCCAAAGGTTCATTCAACTGATAAACAACAGGGTCAGAGGTTTATTTATCCAAAAATCAAGACAGCACAGCATGTGGCCCCAGTGTCTTACTGAAACCTGTTATCATTATGCAATTATTTATTTTTGAGGAGAGAATCTTTGATTTGTTTTGCCAGAGCTGTTTTGCCTCCTGCAGATACAATCTGTCATGATTCAGTTTTGCATATATAACATAAATATATTTGCCATGTCAAGGAGCAACATCTGACTGAATGTGGCTTTATTTCTACTTCTGTATTAGTTTTTCTCAGTTGTAAAAGAGAAATGTCGCAGGGCTTGTATTTGGTATTCAAGACCTGTGCAGTAACTGCCTTGAAAGAGGGGAGAATCCATAGCTTCAGACAAGGAACTGACTATTAACAGCTGAGATTAAAGGCTGCAGTCCAGCAATGGTGGGAGATCTAGGTAGCTTTTTAACATTCATGTGGCAATAATCTGCCACAGTATTAGGCAGAGGCATGAAAAAAGCTTAAGGAGACTCAGGCCTTAAACATATACACCGTGGATTGTGGGGCCAGAAAGCTGATGTTTTAAAGGGCAAGCATATCCATGTGAGATAAACTCATAGACAATACCTGCCCCTGCAGATTTACTGGAATAAGAAGCATCCCTGTGATTCAGCATGGCTCAGATACATTTTGGCTGAAAAACTGTTTCAGCTCAGGCTTCTTTGCCAGATACATCCGCCTTCTTCACAAAGTACTCTGTCTCAGTAAGGAGTTCAGCTGGTCCACTGTGGTGAGTGTATTTTGTATTTCTTCCTTTTACTCAAAAGGATGACTGGCAAATCTTTACACAACATCTTTCTCTCAAATCTCCCTTACATGAATAAACAATGCTGCTTGTTACCAAATATACTTTTCTCACTGATGTCTATCTCAATGCACACCCTAAAGGAAGTGAATGTACTAGCCATGGTGAAACAGTGGTGGTTAGATTGATATTTGGACAGCTGGAAACTCAGCTGTGCATTAGACTCTCCTTGTTCTTCACTTTGTGAGATTTAGAATTAGATCAGTGAAGTTTCACAATGGTCAGGAAGGTTTAAGGTCCCTAGACATTCACAACTATACCCCAGAGACAATCTGTGTGCCAACTTTGTGTATCACCAGTATGAAGTGCATATCTTTTCCAAGTCCTGACAATGTAAAAAGTGAACTTTTGGTGGCTCCATATCTCCTTTCTCTTGCATTGCAGAAAATGTTCATTATAAACATCCCAGATTTTAAAGTTGGTATAAACTCCATTATATTTGGGATGTGTGAGCCTAGATATTTAAATTTAGAGAATCAGACTAAGTTGTGCCAAAACCCCTTGAATTTGTGAAATCCTTTATTTATTTTACTTGTGCAAATGCTTACTTTGCATGCATAAATTTGCAATACTAATGCGACTTGAGTGTGTTCATATGAAAATGTGGCATCATGTAGGAATTTATGTGCAATGATACATAATATTTTCAGGGAAAAATTTGTAATGGTGATCATCTCTTTCAAGTACAAACTACTCTTAAACCCAGGAAAGTGAGCATCTATGAAGAGCTTCATTTGATAAATGATGCATTTGATAAAATTCAGATACCTGCTGAGGAAATGGCCTGTTTATAGAAATAGAGTTATACATCAACCCAGCTATCTGGCAGAAAATAACAAAAGTTGATTGCCTGCAAGGTCATCTGTGACTCAGAAATTAGACAGAATATGGACTGTGAAAATCAGCTGTGAGGCTATGGCAGAGAACAATGCATACTTGATTGAATCCTCCCCAAAAGATGTGTCAAATATCACACCTTTCTCACGAAAGAAGAGACTCAGTAGGTGAAGAAAATATGAAGCATTCTACTTCCTTGCCTAGCATGCACAACTGACTTAACAGGTTTTTCATGATGTGATAGTTCTAAAATTTTTGTGAAATGTTTGGTAGTTGCACAGGCGTCCAACCAGATACATATTGTAATTTGTAAAAATGTGGCAGCATGCTTCACAGAAGCAGGAAAAGTATCAGGTTTAGCTTAAGTTAGACTGCTGTTTCTTATATCAGTTTTTAATGAGACACTTCACAGAACCAGTACTGAAATCCTTATAGCTGTTGGCTGACACACACAATGTCTACTGCTTAATGAAGGAGTAAATTGTATAATAAATCTTCTATTTTTATTGCTGTTTCTTTGTATGAGGAGTGAAAATCACCTTTCAAACTTACAGATTCCTGCTGTTTCCTTCATATATTATCAATGTGTATTGTAAAGGATACCATAAAAGGATGTAATTTGTCCAAGACCAAGTATCAAAGATGCTGTCACATCTTCTGGTTATATATTTTATATTTTTATGTTATAAAATATTTATATTTAAAATATAATATTTTAAATTTTTTTATATTTTATGGATGAAATTTCGTGGAATGATGGAGGACTAAATGCATATTATCATTAAAAGCAAGTCCAAAAATACATGTGCAAATCCAGAAAAAAAACCAAACCAAAAACAGAAAGTGAAGTTTCATAGAATAAAAAATTTTATTCCTGTGAGATTTGCCCATGGCTTGATTTGTGTGTATTTTAAAAGATTCACCTTATTGGAGTCCATCAGTTTTCCAGTATTACAATATCTATGCATCCTGTGACGATCTCTGTGTACCTTTGCTAGTTGTTACCTTACGTTTATAGCACTTCTCTCACTAATCCAGCATTTTTGCATGTATGGAACCCTTTGCCCTGAGCTTATGAAACAAAATGTTCCAGTGTATGCCTGATAATGTGTCACAAAAGAAATCTCATTGTTTTCAGTGGGACTTTTATAAGGCTAACTGGTCATCATTGCCTGGGCCTTTGCTGTTCTGCTGATGTGTGCAGACTCTTCCAAAGTGGAGTAATATACATACAGTCTGTATTTAGTCTTACTTCCATAGTGCTGTTACTACACTGGTCAGGCTTCATCTGTTTCACGGGCTGTACAACTTCATTTGTTCTGATTATTTTGCCAAAGATTAAGCATTGGTTTTCCTGTCTGCTGGGAATTTTGTTCCAGGTAATAGCCATGATTTTCCTTTCTCCACTTAAGCCATTAATACATTCATTGGTTGTATATCAGTCAGAAATATCTCTTGGCATCTTTTTTTTTTTTTATCGTCTCTGTTTAAAAATATACTGCTTGGTTATGCTCATGATATGCTGACTTATTCAGGAAACACTTTGTGTTAAAACTGTCAGACAGAGATCCCTTTTATCCTCAGTCATCTTTGTGACTGCATCTAAGCTACACTGAGTGATAGAGACACCCAGCTTAGTCCCATCCTGAGTAGGTGTGTCTGGACCCTGCCACAAATAATAAGTAATGCAATAATAAGCAAAGCAATTCATGGAGGCACAGCTGAACTGCTGGCGCTTGAATTCAGCTGCCATCAGTTCAAGTATCTCTGCAGTATCCTTTGTTGGGAGGTAGGTAGGTCCTTCACTGCCAGAGAAAGTCTGTTTCATCAGGTAACTCACTGGGTTTCAGAGCCCACCATAAGGGTCAAAGCATTACACCTCTGAAGTCTGTACCTCTTGACAAATCCAAGTGAAATCAGCATTTTTTTCCTAATGCTTATGATGAGGAAGAGGAGGTCAGACACAGGGTCATGACAACATATGTCTTCTTTCCTTGTAAATCTAAGAAAAAGAGTCTGACTTCCAGCTTGAGGAGTCCCAAAACACTAGAGAGATCATACACTGAATAAATTCACCTAGCAAGTGAAGTGCTCTGGAATGAGGAACACAGCAGATCTGGACAATAATGAGGGGAAGAAAATAACGAGTATTTTCGGCAAATGTGCAAGCATGTTTAATGAAACAGAAGTCAGATGTAGATCCACTAGCATATATCCTCCAAGACTAGGGCAGCATAAGTGCATTGTGTTGGCCTTGTACAGACATCCTTAAAGATTTCACACTTAAATGAGCAGATCACAAGGAATAATTTAGCCCTAAGACACAGGGTAGTCACACTGGTAATTAGAATGTACAATTAGTTTCTATCTTCTGCCAGAAATGTCCATGCAGTTTAGTGAATTTTTTGAAGAGTTTGCAAACCTGCAGTTTCATTTACTTGTAGATTGTGGAATTTTTTTGCTTTTTAAATTCAGCTCCAAAATTCAAATTCCCTGAAGACTTCTTAGCAGCAAAGCCATGTATCTTAATTCAGAATATTTTGGTTTGGAATCTGTGATATTCTTCAAAGTAAGCCAGCCTGTCCGTATTTTGATACCTTGTTTGTGGTATTGGATGTGCTAACTGAAATACATAAGAACAAAAGGAATAATAACCATCATTAGGGTTGTAATTTGGATCACTAAGAAAATTTTCTAGACCTCAAGCTTACGTAAGATCCATGAAAATAGCTATTACGGGGTACAGAAAAGCAGTGCAGGGTCAAAACTATACTTTGAAATGTGAAATTTTGTAAATACATTTTTATTTTGATTTCATTTTAAATTTCAGCATAGATAGAGCTTGTAATAATTCAATAGTGGCAGTATTTTGTCTCCATCTGAAACCAGGATGTGACATGTTCTTCTCTTACAGTAGCTGCTGAGGAGAGCTTAGGTTATTGTGTAAAATAATTGGTTCTCTGAAGAGTTGGGTACAGTCTCAATCAGTTCCAGTTTCAGTATCAGATTTCTTTTAATCAGAGAGAAGTATAGTATTTTTCTGATTCTCGTTATGCACTGAAATTGGTTGGAAAGAAAATGCTTTGAGCAGTGCAGTATAGAAGCAAATGTTCAGTGTTATAAATAACATTTGATTATACAAATATACTAAAATTATAGAGCTTATTTATGTTGAATCAGGTGTCAGGGTTTACTATAGACTTTTTTGGCGTGATTGCAGTGATCTCATTCTTCTGTAAATTAAAGTAAATTTCATGCAAAATATATATACATATACATTCTTACATATAACAAAATTCTCTACTACATATTATCTACAGTATGAAAAAATGAAAACTCATTACTTGTGGCCAAAACATTTTTAAAAAATGAGGCAGATCCAGCCCCGTCTTTTTAAAAATTACCTGCTGTATGCTGACAACTTGATGTAACTTAGCCAAATTAAAAGAAGACGGACACTTTTTCTCATGTAGTTGTTAACGTATGTTTGAGTATCTTCATTTTCTTAGAAAGATTTAAAGCAATGAGAGGATCACAGAAAGTTTATAGTTCCATAAATTACTGTGGAAAAATGTGGATAATAGAGAGGAAAATAATTTTTATTTAAGTGCCTATAAATTACTCCTGGTTTGTTAATGTTCATTTAGCTTAATGTAAATCAGACATACCTAACATATGTATGGAATGTTCTTTCTAAAAAAAAACATTACCATTCTAGCTTTTCAACAAAGATCTGGCTTAAGTTGATCCACTGGGCAGGGCTCAAAGGTACTTGTTTTTCTTCCAGTCACCTTCCAGTCCTTTCTGAGCTGTGAGTGCACATTGCTGGGTCATGTCCAACTTGTCATCCACTGGCACCCCGAAGTCCTTCTGGGCAGGGCTGCTCTCCATCTGTTCATCCCCCAGTCTGGACTGATACTGGAGGTTGCACCAAGCCACATGTAAAACCTTGCACTTGGTCTTGTTACACTTCTCGAGATTCCCATGAGCCACTTCTTCAGATTGTCCAGGTCCCTCTGGATACGTCCCGTCCTTCAGGTGTGTCAGCAGCACCACTCAGCTTGGTGTCATCTGTAGATGTGCTGAGG